TTAGGTACGTCTATTAATTTGATCAATAAGTATGCAAATCTAACATATAAACTCTCCGACATGTCGGCTGACTGTTAGAGATTTCCTCCTTCATCTGTTTGGTTTTCATTTTTGTCGTTAATTACTATTTCTAATTTTCTTTTCGATAATTTATACCTCTTATAAGCAATAATCACCCCTACAGCAGCAGCAACAAAGGAGCCAACTCCAGTAACAATACCAATTATTTGATTGATGCTAAGTCCTTGACTTTCTTGACTGATGCTAATTTCTGGACTGATGCTAATTTTTGGACTGATGTAAATTTCTGGACTGATGCTAGTTTCTGGACAAGTTACTTCTGGTGAATTACTTAATGATAGGTTATTACTAGGTGCCATTATTCCTCCTGTTCCATTGCATGATGTTACTTGATAAGTAAGAAGAATTGGGTTTTCACATTTTGTCCCCCACAAACGGCATTTTCCTGATTGATAAAGGTTTGGACAAATTACGGCCAGTTTCGAACCTTCACAAAGAGAATTAGGGTTAACAGCCGACTGTGGAGAAAACCCTAAACAATCAGGGCTATGGTGTGGACTAATTGGATGATTTTGTCCTTCTAGGTAGGCAGAAGGATCAACGTAAGGACCAAGTGAACAGTTTTTATCATCGCAACAAGCATAAGAGCCAATACTATATTCATGTTCTTTACTACGACTAAGCATCCACTCGAGCTGTTTTTCATGAATTAACTTGGACGAACCCTCAATAGAAAAATTAGGAGTCGATATACAAAACGTTCCATTTTGATATTGACAAACTCTTTTTATATCATTACTAATAAATTTACTTTATTTACAACAATCTAAATCACTTATCTTTTGGCAACGAGCTAAAGTGCGTTCAATATTAGGAGGACAATCGGCACCTTGTTGTTTTGCTACACATTTGCCGTCTTGACAACATAATAATTGCCCTGTTGGTAGAACACCAGATAATATGCTTTTGCATATAAATGTATCATTAACAATTTGAACTTGGTCGTTAATTGTATTCTCGCTATTCATATTCTTTTATTGCCTCTTTTGAGTCAATTGGTTCAGATTAATAACCTTATTTCTTGACTTTTGTATATATTTTTGGTCTTAGCTTATTTTTATTTACTTTTCTTTATTTATGTGTATTGTTCACAGTTTATTAAAATACAAAAATCTTTATACTTTTTCAGAAAAAGGCGACAATAACCCCTTATGGACTAAAGAATTATTTTCGCAAAGACTAAAGACTACTTTTGCTCTCTCTATTTATGGTTTATGTATAAATATATAAATTAGCAAACATCTGTTGTATGTACGTAGCTACGTACGTACAAGCGTAATACGGTAATGCAAGATTGCTGTTCATATAGGTATTTAGTAATTAGTACTGTACAGCAGTACAAATTTGGACGGACATACGAAAATTATACCAAATTTTGATCGTACGTACGGTTAATATAGACTTGCAAGTTTCAATTTTTATAAATAGCCCTTTTTGATGGTTAGGGTTAGGGTGAGCGCTAGTATTGTCCTTTTTTCATGTTAGGATTTATAGGAAAAGTAATTTGGGTTTTATGATTTTTTCTTTTACAAACCGTACGTACTATCATAATTTCTACACTCCGTCCTAATTTACGTTTCCGTACCGTACTACTTTACTATATACCCTGTTCATATGCATACATTTTTGCCAAAATGTACGTACATACGTACGTACGTACGTACGTACCTATAGTGTTTTACTGCGGACCTATTATATAAGTTTATAGATTTTTTTTGAAATTGTTGGGAAAATTACCTGCAATATAGTATTTTAAAAACAGGACTATGAAACAGGGTCATATTAAGCCAAATGTTCGGAACCCCCAAAACCTTTTGCAACCTAAATTTGGGTCCTTATATCTAACCCTATCTTTGCACCTAAAACGTAAAGGGAGGAATTTTTTACCACTGTTAAATGTAGTAATTTTCATTTTTTGATTTTTATAAAGTTTTGAATATAAAATTTTTAACACAAAGTTTCTATATTAGGATTAATATTTTGGGTTAGAATTAAGGTTTGGGAAGTTTTTTGAAGGCATAGATAGAGATGGGCATTCTGCATTATTTGTATTACATTATGCAAAACATAATGTCGCATAATGTAATGTAAACATTTTAAAATTTAAAAATGCACATAGAAATTACTAATATACAAAAATTAATAAAATATTATGTTTTATATTATATAATACTAAGTGATATGTAGCATCAATTAATGATTTCCTACCTGTATAAAGCAGGCCAACTAATATAAGGTTTGAAAATACCATAAAATAGTAAACTTCTGTATAGAGATAAGAAAGATTGGGCATGAGTCTTGCTTCTTGATTTGGTAGAACATCATGATTACATAATGTCACATGCTGCATTATGCAATGCAGAACCAAAAAAATTATGCATTCACACATCTCTAGGCGTAAAGCATTTTTCTTAATTAGCCAGGTTTTGAGATTACAACATAGGTAGCAAAGCACCATAGGTGCTTTTTTAGTAAAAGTGTATACATATTTGTTTAAATTAAAATACGTCGATTTATCGAATAAATTGAGTTAGTAATGTTGTCACACCTGAACTACATCGTCAATAGAAGTTCAAGAGACATAATAGTTATAGTTACTAGCTTAGCCGGCTTAGCTGATTTTAAAATTACGGATTTACTAATTTTCCCCACCAGTTCCTATTGGACGAAGGGAAATTCTGCTTTTTATTGGACGGAATTGACTTATAAATTTTTATTTGATCAAATAACGGAAGTATCATTGAAACAGTATAAAAGTCTAATAGATGTATACTATAGGAAATTTTTTTGTTAGAACATGAAAGATGGTTTTGTAACCAAAATTTTAAGTTATAGACGATTTTTGAAATTTTTCGATTTTTTTTGAAAATTTTTATTACACCTGTTCTTATGATTTGATTGGTAACGAAAAGTGGTATAGTCTAACTAGTGGGGAAATTAAGGCACTCTAAAATTACACCATTTAATTCGGACTTTACTGAAAATTTTTTGGCCTCAACCTTGCTCATATTTTAGGTTCGATCAGCCGATTTTACAAAAATCGACCGGCTAAGCCGATAATTTGCTTTTAGCCGATTTTTTCACTATCGGTCAAGATCACTAGTTATAGTATGAAGTCTATAACCTTGTGATTTGGCTAGGGAATAATAACGTCGATTATATGACTTAGCAAAGAGGATTTTGATGGCTTTATCGAAAGAGGCAAAACATTAAGTGTATATGAAGATACAAATATACATATATAGTTTATTTAATAAAGTATAAAATTATAATATTTTGTATAACTAATAATCTGTAAACCTCTATATTTTATTTTTAATTCTAAATATTTTAGAATTTGTTAAACTAATTTTAATAATCTAAATACTATTAAAATTAAAAAATCTGCTATACAACTTTATTTTAAAAATCCAAAAAAGATTAGCTTATTAAAAATTTCTTTAATTTTAAAAAGTTGATTTTTTAAATTTAATTGATTGTTAAAAATATTAAAATGTTTTATGTTTTGTATAATCCATAGTAGAAATAGCAAAAAATTATAATAAAAATAGCAATATTCTAAAGATTTTATAACTCAGTAAAAGTTATAATTTAAATAGTCATTTGAATTAGTTTAACTAGTTTTTGGTTACAAATTAAAAACTAGTCTAAACTGGTCTATATCTTATAAAATAATTATATTAGTTAGCTATTAGGATGTTTTATAAATAGGCGGGCAAACTTTTCAAATGACCTGCTCCTAATCTCCACAGTTGGATCCTTTTCCTCTGGTTACTCATCTGGCGGCCTAGTTGATGGAGTGTCTTGCTAAATACTTCAGTTCCATTTAGTCCACCTGTTACTTCTGAATAATCATTCTTTATATAATATGGGGTCTTTGCCTTGAAAATGACCTTACGGTACATGATACCATAAGGTCATTTTCAAGGCAAAGACCCCATATTATCAAAGATCTGTATTACCTCTCTACTTGAATCTTGCCAAGCAAGCTTCTATATCAAAATCCACTAGTTTTACTCAGTAGCTTCACTTGAATTTCATATAACTCATACATTATACTAATATTCTGCTACCTCCCAGTACAAGCTGGTATAATTCTATTATAGATGTTGATCTAATAGGATCAGTCTTCCAAATGTATTCTATAAATTCAAATGAACTCTTGTTTTAACACTTAGAGGTGTGATAATTTACCAACTTCATTAAGTTGTCACATTCTTTATAGACTATGTTCTAATCTGCAAGATTTATATAAAGTTAAATAAAACCAATTTAAGAAAGATTTGTAATAAATAATAAAAATAAAATAAGTATAATTTTAATTTATAATTAATAAGCAATTTGTGTATAGTTAGTTGGGTTAGGTTGGGTTGACTAAGAGAACACTCAAAAAGAAAGATATATTATATACCAAAATAAAGCTAGAAAGTAGCTTTATAAGTTTGATTATATAGACAAAGAATTGTAATTAATAAAAAAGATAAATTTTTGTACTATAATATTTTGAATTTTTAGAAATTGTAAGAATCCAATAAAATGAACGAACATAAAAGACGAGCAAGGTCAGGTCGATAATTTCTGATTGAAAAAAAATTAAAATTTACTATATACATGTCCCATCCCCTCCCCTTTTGAAGAATAGATGTAATATAAATCACCAGATCAAGTTGTCTCACCTAAATATCTATCCAACATGTTTAGTATATTTAGTTTTTGTGAAAAAATATATATTGAAAATTGCATGTAATCAATATGTATGTAATGTAACATAAATTGTAATTTATATATCGATCATACCAAAGTTACTAATTGACCGAATCGCCAAAAATCATTCAGCACTTTTATTAGGTATTTCAAAAATTATAATAACAGTTGCAATGAATGCAGTTATGATTTATGCATAATTGAACTGAAATAAGTAAACACCTGGCAATAGCAACTAAGGTTGCCCCGGCCCTATAAAAAATTTTATCTGAATATTTCTATTATCAGTCACACGATATGTTACAGGGTAAATTTTTGTATATATAAAACTATAGCAAAAACATATAGAATTACATATAAACTTTGTTGTGATGATGTTTCTTTGTTTATATATTAACTTTAAATTAAATTTTACAAATAAATACATCAAGAAAAGGAGAAAAAATTACATTTTAGACCAAATAAAAATCTTGCAATTTTGATATAATTTAAAAATGTAACTCTGTTAAAAAGAAAAATTTAATAGTTTTAAGATAATAATTACAGTAAAACCTCTCTAAGTGCATGCTCTATAAGTGTATACACTATGTAAATTCTCTCTAAATACACGACATAACTTGGCACCAACTTATAAGAATATTATATATTTTGCCTTCTATAAATACTCTCTCTCTTTAATTGCATGTTTTGCTTTTTTTTGACTATGGTCCTGAGAGGGGTGCACTTAGAGAGGTCTTACTGTATATGTAAAATCATATTCTAAACAACTTCAATCTAAGTGTACAAAAAGATTATCTTAGTAAGAAAGTAGCACAGATCTTTAATGGTACTATATAAAGGATTATCAACTAGAAACCGAAAAACTGAATAGGTCCGAAGTGTTTGGCAAGGCACTCCACCAACCTGGCTGCCAGAGAGTAACTGGAGGAAAAGGACCCAATCATGGGGACCAAGGACAAGTCACATTCCTTCTAAGCCATCTGAATTGGAAGTTTGAGATGATAGATGTATAGGAGATAGTCCGTATAGTGGGTGCTGGGGTTTGGGTGAACTCTATAAGGGTGGTAGTAGGTAACATTAGGGCCTCAGCTCGCAAGTACTTGTTCTCAGACTTGGTGTAAGTTACTGAAAGCCTAGATTAACTGGATTGTGGATACAGATAGCTCTAACAATAATGCCTCAAGGATAAATTAGTTTTAAGGATATAGGTGAGCATCCAGAACTTCATAAGATATAATGGTGATACTGGAAGAGTTGCATTACA